GGGGGTTGAGATTGAGTAATCAACAACGGTGGTGCAGGGAAGAAACAAAACAGACAGAAGTAGAAATCGCAAAAATGAACTTATGTATGAGATACGAAACCTTTTTTTATCTGCGTCAGTGGCGACATCAATGTTATTGCTGGTAGATTATAGAAGATGTTTTTACTTAAAAGAGTGTGAAGCATCTCGTTACTGTTTCTCATTCTGTCAATTTCTTCCACTTCTGTGGTATCTCTGTGATAAGACGACGTTGACGGGGCTAGAGACGGCTGAGTGTTTTGATAACAACTCCGCGAAGCCTGCATTGTCTTGTACTGTCAGCTCCGCGGAGCCCGCATTGTCCTGCATTGTCGTGAGTCCGTAGTTTCAGGTTTCCATTTGTCTCAAAAGCACCCGGGGCTACTAGTCCGGGGTTCCAATCTCACTTCAGCAAACACTGGGATTAGATTCTAATTTCCCTGAAAACCGATTTTAATTTCAGTGCTCAGGGCTTAAATCAGTTTAAGTTTGAAGGGGAATTGTAGATTCATTTTAAAAAAAACATCACTGCTCCTCTTCTGAAACGAAACAAACAACTGAAGTTTGCTGTGGGCTGAGGAAAATTATCTCGTGAGAGAAACATGAAACTCGGATCTGATTAAGGAATTCAGGTCTGCTGTAGAGTGTTCTGGTTCAAAGCGATGTCGGTTAATGATTGACAAACTGCGTTGCCATAGCAACTGGTAGGAAGGAAATGTTGCTCTTTTGTTGATGGGAAACAACGTTTGAGCTAATTACATAGCCCGAGGCAGTAGGTTGTGTTGATGGAGATGAGTCAGTGTGATGGTGGGGTGTCTTTGTTTGTGTACTTAGAGAGGCGAAGAAACGAACAAGTGGGTGGGGGCGGCCCCGAGGGCTGATATATTGAAATGAGTCTTCTTTGTTTTGAGAACGAAAAGAACACTTTTCTCGTTATTTTTAATTTCCTGTACTTTTTTAGTGAGCGAGGGGGGTGGGGTAGGGTGGACGGTGAATAGTTGGGGCAAGATTGAAATAGTGTTTTATTCTTTGTGCAATAAAACAAACAACGTCTTTCATTCCTGTCTATACTATTTTTATTTATTTATT